GATAAAATTTCCCGCAGTTCTTGGGAACCTTCTCTTCTGCTCGTGATCGAAAGTCTATAGGCTTCACTAAGTTTTTCTTTAATATTTAAAACTTCTTAAGTAAGTAGTGAAACCGCTTTCAACCCATGCTTCCTTTGACTTTTCATGTTTTTTCAGTTTTTTCTTTCATTTTGTTTATATTTGTTTCTGAAGCTGTCTTGAAGTTATCACTTCCAATTCCAAACAGCAAACCAGGAAAACAAATAATGTATTTTTATTTCTAACCACAAGAGCCAACACTATTTAATTGCCATTCTGAGATGAGCTACGAATATACCTCTTCTGTTTAGCTTATTCTGGCGAGATATTTGAATATCAGGTGAGAATGACCTCTTGTCTTATGTAGCTTTCTAAAGAAGAACCTTCTTGAAAATTTAAGTTGTTTGAAGTTCACTCACTGTCACAGAACTTTTTATTCTTAAAATAAAAGGAGGTATATTTAATTGAGCTAGAATTCTACAAAATAAAGTTTCTGGAAAAAACAATAGAATGCAAGAATAGGATCTCTATGAAGTATGAATCATAGCATCTCATCCTATTAATGAATTGCGCCGTCTACTATATCAAGTGTACAGATTAGATAAATTGTAGATGATGTGTTTTAAATATCTTGTAAAGTACAAATAAATAAACATACAGTATTACCCTATTAACGCGCCACTTAACGCGTTTTCATACACGCGTAGCCAAGCCAAAGCTGAATTTCACTTAACGCGGCGGCATCATATACGTGAGTGTCCTGCCGAGAGCTATTTTAGATTCGCACCCACCCCCCACCCGCCTGACCCTGCCTGTTTTAGCTCATAAAATTCATACAAATTACCCAGCCAGAATATAATTTACATTGCTGGAATTCTTATAATTTGGTGATCATTTTGAATATAAACAACATATATATTTGACAATATTTAGATAAAAATTGTTCTCTAGGTAATTATGTTATCTTTTGTCCAAAATATATGACATTTATATTCAAAATATTCCTGGTCTTACAAGGAATCCAGCAATGTCAATTATATTATCCTAACTTTAGTTTGAGGTATTATTTATTAAAATTTAGTGGTTATCCCACACATCTCCTTGGGACGGTTGGTGGGGGGTGGGGGGTGGGGGGGAGGGAGGGACCGACCGACCGACCATCTGTTACCCTGTGAAGAATTATTTTTTTTTTTATTAACTGAAGATATTTGTTTTAGCTCATAAAATTCATACAAATTACCCGGTCAGAATATAATTTACATTGCTGGAATTCTTATAATTTGGTGATCATTTTGAATATAAACAACATATATTTTGCATTAAACATACAATTTTTAGATAAAAATTGTTCTCTAGGTAATTATGTTATCTTTTGTCCAAAATATATGACATTTATATTCAAAATATTCCTGGTCTTACAAGGAATCCAGCAATGTCAATTATATTATCCTAACTTTAATCTGAGGTATTATTTAATACTAAATGTTAAAAACTCTTGAATGGAGGATTGGTGGGGGGTGGGGGGAGTTGGGACTGGTTGGAAGAGGGGGGGAAGGCAAGGTGGGGTACTTTGATTGACAGATAGTGTCGAAGAATATTTTTTTTTTTTTATTAACTGAAGATATTTGTTTTAGCTCATAAAATTCATACAAATTATCCGGCCAGAATATAATTTACATTGCTGGAATTCTTACAATTTGCTGATCATTTTGAATATAAACATCATAGATTTTGCATTAGACATACAAATTTTAGATGTAAAGTTTATTCTGAGTAAATATGTTATCTTTTGTGAAAAATATATGACATTTATATTCAAAATATTCCTGGTCTTACAAGGAATCCAGCAATGTCAATTATATTATCCTAACTTTAGTTTGAGGAATTATTTATTACTATACCTGGTTTTCCCCAAAAAATTTCTCAGAGGGAAGAGCCAGTGAGTGTAGTGTGAGAAGAGGGGGAGGGAGTTGAGTCCATTATTTGAATGGACATTAACTTGGCGACTGTATTTCTCTATTTCTCTTAAGTATTAATTGTGTGCATGTACCATCATAAAATTAAGATGTTATTTTTACTACAACATAGTTATTTGTCGTCAAAAAGTGGAGTTTGGGGGTCGGGCTGGGTTCTATTGGAATTAATCCCATATGTTCTGTTATTCACTTAACGCGGCCACTTTTAATCGCTGGACCTCCGTTCAATTAATCAAGCGAATGGGGTACAACTGTATATGATATATTATATTATATAATACATATATAACGGGTGAAATAAGGGGTGCTGCAGTTCCACAGTGCCTACCGACGAGCCGCCACTGGTTCTGGGCTAAGAAGCCTCCCTAAGAAGCATTCCCAAAACAGGGTGAAGGTAGTTTAGGTTTAAAGTTTTTATCTTATAAAATGTTACAAACTAAACTTAGCAGAATATAACTTGCATTGCTGGAATCCTTGCAAGATAGTAAATAATTTGAATACTGTATATACATCATATATTTTGCACAAGATATAAAAAATTTAGTCCTATAGTGTAGTACATTTAAGTATGAGTTTTTCAACTCATACTTTTGGGTAGATAGAGTAACTTTCTTCAATTATTTTTACTCATTTACATGCACACACCATCCTGAATATATATTGTGAAAAATTTAAAAGAAATAATTGTCCTAAGGACAAACTGTACTCTACAGTACTCAAATGTAATAAATAATTACTCAAATATTTATGTCTAGTGCAAACAATAGCATGTTTATATTTAAATTAATCACTATCTTACAAGAATTCCAACAATGTAAGTTATATTCTACCAAGTCAATTCAGTAACACATTATAAGCGAAAAACTTAAACTCCATCTATATGACAGATAAATAAATACCACTAGGTAACCTTCACTGCCGGCTGGTCAATACCTCCCACTCTGCCTGGCTGTCAACACTTCACCTCCCCATCCCAGGGGTGGAGGTGGTTTTAGGCTTAAAGTTTTTATCTTATAAAATGTCACAGACTAAACTAAGCAGAATATAACTTGCATTGGTGGAATCCTTGCAAGATAGTAAATAATTTAAGTATAGACATTACATAGTTTGCAAAAAAAGAAATTTTTTTTAGTACTTTAGTGTTGTACATTTGAGTACAAATGAGTACAGTTATACTGTATGTTGCTCAAAATTATGGCTTTTTCACAGGAAAAAGTCTGAACACCTAACCCCAGTAGTCAGGATAATATGAACTGTATTTAATGTGTTTTTTATATCATTACAAGTACTGTACATCACCGATCCAGGAACTGATTTTCCGGCACCTCCTTTAGTCTGGACAAAACTATGAGAGGGCACTTAACTTCCCTCCCAGCCTGGGTGAAGGTAGTTTTAGGCTTAAACTTTTTATCTTATAAAATATATCTGACTAGACTTAGCAGAAAATAAATTACATTGCTGGAATCCTTGTAAGATAGTGATTAATTTGAGTATGAGCATCACATAGTTTGCACAAGAGGTAAAAATTTTAGTGTAGTGTAGTACATTTGAGTACAAAGTTTGTACAGTAATGTTGCTCAAAATTATGTTTTTTTTTCACATTTAATCGACATTTAATATTTGTTTAATTTAAGTTTCTAGCAGTCCATGGTGCTTTAGAGACACAGGAGGTGTATCATTAGTGGGTCAGAGGTGTACAGTATTGTTGAATTCTTATTACCTGACCTCGGTTGGTCCAGCAAAATGTATAATCCGGCAAGGCTTTGGAACCAAGGGCGCCGGAAAATCGGTGGTGGAACTGTATTTATCATTTTTATACATTTAGTAGATTCGCAGGAAGATACGGACAATCGGCTTTTCCGGATAGGTGGTCCCTCCTTTTAGTCAGGATATTCGAGGGTTCACTGTATCATTATCGTTTTTATACATTTACCGTAGGCTGAAGTAGGTTTTACTGTATCATGTGTCTGAGGTATCTCCATGGGTGTTAGCGTATCAACGGAATTAATTTTGACTTAGCGAACTAGTTCACTAAATCGAGAAGAAAAAAAATGCCTTCCAATAAATCGAGAGTTCGTTATATCAGATACCGTTAAATCGAGACTTTACTGTATTTAGCAGAGTCTATTAAAGGACCTGTAATAATGATAAAATTACCACTGTTTCACCAAAATTACCCTAAATATTTTATCTAAACAATGGGAGCAATAATTGCACAGAAAAACCATAACTTCCTTAGAAATCACATTGAGTGTCACAGCCAAGACTGAGGAGAGTGAAGTAAACACTGCTGGCAGGCATATGAGAGCTTCCAGCAACACAAGATGCCTGGTGAGTACCAAGAGGACAGGGTAAAAAAAAAATATTTGGTTAAACAAAATCCCAAAACCATGTTTTGTTTTGTTTTTCACCCTTGTTGGCTCATCAGCTGAATCTAAACTGGTCCATAAGGGAATCAAGTAATGTAAGTTCTATAACATGAAATAGAGAATCTCTAACTACTGTATAATGTGGCCTATAAGTCGACTTCTGAAGCTCAATTTTTTGTTTTCAAAACTAGGGGTCGTCTTATGCAACAGGTAAAAACATTCAGTACTCCCTGTAGTTCAGCCAAAAAACCCAAATAGTACACAGAAATGAGGCACTTATATGTTGAAATACATTGTGAACAGTGGGACACCTTCCTTCTGTGGGGCATAGACAGGAATGAGTGAGAATGAAGCCTGAAAGACTGTGTGGTTGATCCAGAGAACAGGAGATGTGAAAGAATTTCTATGACATCTTCCTCCTTTGCCCTAGAGGCACACAACCTGAGCATCTGATTACACATTTTTAAGAAGATTTACTAGTAATTTTGTTTATTCCTGGGTCTTGTACTAACAGCTCTGGATCACTTATACTTGAGCTGCTTAAAGACGGGCAGCTGACAACAAAGACATGTATTGCTCAGTATAGCATCATCAATTCAATATTACAAGTTACAAGGAACTACAGATATTCACTCACTGCCTTTAGATCTCTGATAGCCTTAGTTGGGTCATTTTTACTGTTTCTCAGGGCCCATTCAGCAACCTCTGGAGAAAATCCAGCATTTACAACTTTCTGCACATTAGCATCTAACATCTGCTTGCCACCTCCAAATACCTGAAAAATATTCCAAATGTTACAGTTCTATTTTCCCACAATATATCAACACTTACTTTTAGCAGGAGCTACAGGGTCCAGAGGAAGAAATATTAAAAGATAAAGTACTCAAGACATATAAGAATAAAACTAAACATTAAATAGGACCATACATCTAACCCTTGATGACTATCACTCAAAATATCTGTTACACTTGAAATTAGAACAAAGTTCCAAAGAAAAAAATTAACTGACATACACGTTGACAATCCCTCATCCGAAATCCTTGGGACCAGAGGCATTTCGGATTTGGGAATTTTTTGGTTTTCAGAATTTTTTTTTTTTTTTATGTATTAGCCCATCCGGGCACAAGTCATTGACCCACATTGGGGCCTGGGGGCGAAAATATAACTATTATTATAACAACAACAACAACAACAACAACAACAACAACAACAACAATAATAATAATAATAATAATAATAATAATAATAATAATAATAATAATAATAATAATAATAATAATAATAATAATAATAATAATAATTCATAGGTCTAGGTCGTGTTACTCACTTTTTATCTTTTTTCATTCTTGTATTTCTTTAATATTATTATATTATTATTATTATTATTATTATTATTATTATTATTATTATTTTACTAATACACTATTATTGTTAGCATTATTATTTTATTATAGTGTATCTTTTAATTAAATTTTTTATTTACTATGAATAATTATTATTATTATAATAATTATTATTATAATAATTATTATTATTATTATAATTATTATTATTATAAATATTAATATTATTATAATTAGTATTACTATTACAGCTTCGCCCCCCAGGCCCCGATGTGGGTCGGTGATCTATGCCTGGGTGGGCTAATCCCTGTTTAAAAAAAAAAAATAATAATAAAAAAAAAAAATGCTCCGCAAAAAACTTTCAGTTTTCAGAGCTTTTCGGTTTTCGGAATTTAGGATAAAGGGTTGTCAACCTGTATATGCATCTATTGTCAACTGATTAAATGAACTAATCTCAAGAACAGAAAGCTTAGTCCCACACAACTATAAAAATCAATTTACTTACAATTCTTTCAAACTGACTCTTCTTGGTAACCTAACCTAATCTTATCTTACCTCATCTAATCTAAACTAATCTAAACTTACCTAATCTAATTTACAACTACTTAATCTAACCTTAATTAATCTAATCTAATCTTACTTAATTTAACCTAATGTCATCTAATCTAACCTTTACTAATCTAGCCTAACATAACCGTTACCAACCGCACTGTGCGAGCGGTAATGGTGGAATTTAGGATAACATATGTGGGTGTTATGATAACAGCAATACAGAAAGATAGTTGACATGAACACAGAGTTCACTGTTAAGTTGAAAGAGTGAGGCTAGTTGTGTTGATGGTAACAGTTCTGCTGAAATGGTACGATGACACTTGTCATCTGTACTCCATCTGTCCTGGGTGGGGCAGTTCAGGGCACACTGTCAATCTGTGAGCACTACGAGTATCACTCACAGACTAGTTATAGGACCCGTTACACGTAAGTCTATGCTCATACGAGACTTTCTTGTTCTAAACTGTCATGCATTGAGAGATACTATGTATACGCCTTTGTAATATTCAGATAAGCGTGTTGTAAATGCTGTTGCCATTGTATACAAAATGAAGCTGTATTTGTTACCTAACTTGTAATCCACAAATCATGCAAATCATGAGTAATGTGTAAACATGAACATTGTATTGACAGAATATTAAACACCATTGAGTCCAAGTGTATGGGTCTTCTTATCCAGATCACATACTTACTGCTTCATTGGTGGTAACAATAATTAATCTAATCTAACCCAAATTTATATAACCATATCTAATCTAACCTACTCTAACCTTATCTAAGTTAAGTTAATCTAACCTAACTTAATCTTACCTAATCTAACTTAATCTGATCTAATAGAGCATAATCTTACCTAAAATTACCTAATCTAACCTTACCTTACCTAATCTAACCTAACCTTACCTAATCTAACCTAACCTTACCTAATCTAACCTAACCTTACTGAATCTAACCTAACCTTACCTAATTTAACCTTACCTAACCTAAATTAACCCCCTAAGTAACATTAGGGTGTTTAATCATTAAGTGAAGTAAGCTGAGGTGTCTAACCTTCACTTGATCTCTAGGAGCTGTATCCAGTGATGAAGTGAAATACTTTTTAGTTCAGTTAACTCCTAAATGGCAGCTAAGAACTCCCTATTCCCCCTATAGCTATAGATATACCTTGCTATACACCAGACGTGTTCTTGAGAAGTGTGACATTGAAGAGAAACAATGTGGGGTGAATATAAGTACCAGTATAAAGTACTGTACCATAGACCTAACAATATAAAGAAGTTATGTTCCTGGGGGACATTTCAGGTAAAAAAATTAAATAAATATTAAACACCTAAATTAGATTATTATAGGTTAAAATCAATATTTAGATGTAAAATATATGTCAATAAAATAACAATTACCCGAGTTGATTAAGGAAACTGCGTACAGCATGCCCTTACAATTTGTGGATTTTTAATTCGCGGCCTTCGATTATTCACGGATGACACCCTGGAGCTGCCATGCACACAGGAGCTGCCATGCACAGGCCAACCGGCCTATTGCAGACTCCTTATTTTCTTATGTTCTTATATACCCAAGAATGTACTTTAGTACACGGCATTTTCACAGCCAGGTCGAGGAGCCCGTGAGTTTTATGGCGTCCCGCAAGGTGTCTCTCTTGTCCCAGGTGGCTGGGCCATGTGCGCTCACTCCGCCTCAGTGATAGTCCGGGTTAAACACCTGTCCGTTTCACGCATGTGCTACTCTGCTCTCTTAACAACTGTGCTCCTTGTGCTTGTAATGGCTCCCAAATGCCCTCAACCACCTTCATACAGCTGTAGGAAGGTTCCCAAACAAGTGAAGAGAGAAAAGAAGGTCACATATTTCACCCATACGTACACCTGGCTACGCCTGGCAACAGTAGCAGGTAAGGGGAGTGAGTGACTGCAAGTTAGCGTGCCATTTGCATTTGTGACTCCTCCCTCCCTGCCATATTTCACTGGATTTACTGTTATCATTAGTGTCTACTGATAGAATAGCATTTAATAGTGATTAATCATGGCATTGTAGCTAGGTCAGCTCATCATTGAAACCGCCAAGCTGTGAGGTGTTATGGTTCTTTCAACTCGTATTTTTGGGTAGATATACGTAACCTTCTTCATTTATATTTACTCAGTTATATGTACACACCATCTTCCATACATATTGTGAAAAAGTATACAGTATTACACCACAAGTACCGACATCCTTCATGTTGGGTCGGCTAGATGGCTGCGAAAGAAATTCTGTATGTTTGATCGACGTATAAACCCAGCTGGCGCTCAGATCCCAATCGTTCTAGAGACAGTAATTTTTACAAGGAAAAAATGCTGTATGGCAACCCAACCGACCCAACTTTAATAAGAAAGCACGGAGTTGACTCTCGCATTTTTTCTCCATTTCGATACATTTTGTTGTCCTGTTTCTGATTATTTGTGATAGGATTTTCCCATTATTATTTATTTGTGTGTGTGTGTGTGTGTGTGTGTATATGCACACGCACAGGGTGATGTAATGCGTCTAGTGTGGCAGCATCATGTTAGTGGTAAGGTACAAGCACTGCTTGCTCTCTCTCTCGCTTTCAGCTGCCGCCACTGGCTAGCCCTCGTGGTGAACAGGGAAGCAACTTGCATAAGTCTTCCCCTGCCAGTACACAGCCTCCTCATCATCAAGACTCCTGGCAACACATGGTAACTGGGTGCCTCATGGGCCCAGGCTAGACCAGCAGGGGATCTCAGAGTAGCAGTGGACCCCACAAGAACGGCGCATAGGCCCACTGGCATGTGGGCACGTCCTGACGCCTACCAACCACTGCCCAGTTGCCTTGCAGATTAACCTTGGCAGGTATAAGGCTACGGGAGTAAACCCTGAACAAAAAATCTGCGGTGGAGCCCCGCATCAGGCAGACATGCTTTCAGAGCTCCAACAAGACCTCAACCGAGGTATTGGCGGAAGAGGTGACCACCATGGAAACCCAATGACTACACCGGCGGATGAAGGCAAAGAAAGATGGACAGGCTACTAAGGCGAAACCCAACAAACTGGGCTATCGGCAGTCCATTGCAACTCTCCCTCTCCCCACTCATTGCAACACTTGCACCAATGGATCAGGAAAAGGGAGAGCCAAGATGTGTGGTTGCAGCCTGTGCTCCTGCCTCACCACATAAATCAACTCACACACAGCCATCATCCAGCTCATCATACCTCTCATCATCATCAAAACCCCTATACCCCCAAAAGTCCTATGGCAACAGACGAGTGGCGACGGGGACAGGCAGAGATGACCACCGGGAGTCTCTAATCACAACTCTGCACATGAATGGCATAGATAAGATGGTCGTTTATGTACTAGGATCTAGGCAGCAGTGCAATAAGGTCTTGTCTGTGCGACTGAGCAGCCCTTTTGAGGAGCCACTCTGCTCACCCCACATAGGGACGGGGCTAGAAAAGGTGCCCTAAACATAGCCTGCCTAAGAACCAACCTGACTGGGAACCGCAACCAGTAACGTCACCCTTATGCAGTTGAAAATACAATTATAATCACAGATAAAAAAAAAAAAAAACTATACAACCTCTTATGGTCGCTGCATGGAATGTCAGGACCCTTCTGGATACTGGCACAAATGAGCGTCCTGAAAGAAGAACCGCCCTTGTGGCAAAAGAGCTGGCTAGGTATAACATCAACATAGCAGCCATTAGTGAGTCCCGCCTCCCAGACGATGGTGGACTTACAGAACAAGGGTCTGGCTACACCTTCTTCTGGTAAGGTAAGCGTGCTGCGGAGAGAAACTGCATTTATGGAGTTGGCTTTGCCATCCACCAATGTATCCTACAACACAGGCTAACTGAAATGCCTGTTGGGATCAATGAGCGCCTCATGACGCTCCGAGTCACACTGAATCACTAACATCATAACTTCTTCATTAGTGCATACGCCCCAACACTGGATGCAGAGGATGACATCAAGGAGGCCTTTTATGCCGACCTTGACAGAGTGCTAACCTCTATCCCCAGAGAAGACAAGGTTGTGCTCCTTGGCGACTTCAATGCCAGAGATGGCAGAGATGCTAACATTTGGCAGGGAACCATAGGGCGAAATGGACGAGGCAAGTGTAATCCCAATGGCCTACTCCTCCTCACCAAGTGTGCTGCACACAACCTTACTATCACCAATACCTTGTTTAGGCAGGCCGACAAGTTCAAGGGTTCGTGGCAACACCCATGATCCAAACACTGGCATCTCATTGACTACATCATTGTCAGAAAAAGAGATCACCGAGATGTCCTTATCACGCGAGCCGTGTGTGGCTCAGACCACTGCGACACTGATCAATGGCTCGTCAGAGCCAAGTTCTCACTTCATGTCATCCTAAAACGGCGAAGGCAGCATGCCTCTAGAAGAGATTTTAACCCTTAGGCCCCGGGTGACGTTCCAGAATGTCCACCCATTTTCCCGCCATTTTTTTTTCTTTTTAATTACTTTTGGAAAAGTTGATTTTTTTTCTCTATTTAACCCCGTGGGGGGGCTACTGCCAGCAGCACCCTAACCCGGGGCTTAAGGGATAATACTAAGTGCCTGGAGGATCCAGTGGTAGCCCATGCTTTCAGAGAGCAGCTCGAACATGGGCTGATAAACAACCCAACATCAAACAACCCAAATCCCAGTGCCGAATGGGATATTCTCGACAATGTCATGACAAAACCCTGCAGAGACCCTCGGCCAGATCAAAAAAATACACCAGGACTGATTTGATGAAAATGACCTGGAAATCGATGTACTCGTCAAAGATAAACGTGCTGCTTTAACTCATTGGCAGAACAACTCTCAGTCTCGGACCAAATGTGATTCCTTCCGCAAGAAGAAAGCGGCGGCTCAGCGCGAAGTTCACAATCTAAAGAAAGACTGGTTTAAAATTAAAGCATGTGAAACACAAAAATTTGCAGATCAACACACGATGCACAAATTTTTCAATTCCACTAAAACATTTTATGGTGCAGCAGCAGTATACCATCTTACCTTCATATTTCCCTCTTTGGCCAACTCCTTCACTGTTTGCTTGCGTTGGGTTTCAAACTCATCATCCTCTTTATCCTTGCCACTGGAATCCTTGAGGGCCTTGAACTTTTGCATTTCTCTGTGGTCCTTTAAGATACGTTTGCCAAATGGAACCCAGAGAGGTGGACCAGAGCCATCAGCAGCACACACTCCACGGCTGAACTTAGACACACTCTGCAATATGTCAGTAAACAATAATCACTTTACAATTGACAATTCTACATTCACAATTTAACATCAGCCCCTCCCTCACAACCTTCTATTTACCTCATCTTCCACTTTAACTACAACTGCTTCAATCATACATATTTCTACCTCGGCTTAGTCTCACTTAACATATACAGTATAAAACAATTTGAGAAAACACACCACTGAGAGTTTCCACTTGTCGTACAGTTCCTGAACGGTGCCCCCGATCACAGTAATATTGTTTGGGAACAATAACAAAAATCCACCACCAACAGTAATCTTGCCCGCCAAACGTACTTTAGTGCCCGGTGCAGTTTTGAGGCTGGAAAAGAACCATTAAATTTGTTAGTTTCTTTTAGGCAGAAATGTTGAAACATGAAGAAAAGAAAACAAAGTTTGATCTGAAATTCCATTATATATTGAGCAAAGATGAGGTGAGTAATATCCTTCCCTCCTCACCGAGGAGCTGGGAACTAAATAGCAATCAGATGTGGACCCTATTTTATAGTCTGCTTTAGTTACAGGTGTATGTGTACTGGTGCAGTGGTGAAGACTCATAGCTCTCACCTTCCAGCAGCTGGTTCATCAGTGTTACCTTTTATTTGGCAGGGGAAAACACTTGAACAAGGAAAAATTCTAGACTAGTTTTACCAGATTTCTGAATTATATCCCAGTCACACAAATGAGCCACTTGATCTAATGACAGACACAAGAGGATAGGATGGGAAAATGACAGTACAGAGGCAATCTAGCAAGTGCACTGGGTAGTGAGACAACCTTCATCATAGAGCAGAAAGAGGAAACAATATATTATGGAGGATGGGAAAGGATTATAGAGGGTATTGTTTATGTATACAGTACATGCTGAATCAATGTAAACTTGTATGGTGATTTTTATTGAATAACTATCTATCTACTCATCCATCTAATAACAGGTTGGTCAGGAGGTTCTTCAGCCATCATCACCCCTTCAGAGAGTAGTTCACTATGGGGGGAGGGGAGGGGGGGGTGTAGTACCAGAAACAAAGGAAACTCTCACACTATGAAACAGCTGAAATTAATACCTTTTCTCGAGTGGCATCAATAATAACAAGGTAGGGTAAGTAATGAACACTGACAACTATTCTTAACTCCGTAATAATCTTCCATGAGTTAAAGATATCATGTTTTCATTATTTTGAACTGAACAATGTTTGTCACAAATCTCACCTAAGCGGCTTGATGTTCTGCATCTCAAGAGCCTGTACAGTACTAGAACCGTCTGTGAGAGATACACGCAGCATCCTTGGAGCAGAGCCTGAATCCTCAAAAGCTTTTGGTGCAGCAACATTACGCATCTTAGCCACTTGCAGTACCACAGGACCAGGCAGCTGCTCAAATATGCCATCAATATCTCAGCATTTTGAAAAGAATTTGTACATGAATTAAACAGCCAAGATATAGACAGTACAGCTAAACCACATAAATTTTATTTATGTTGGATACAGTCACTCATTCGTTACTAAAGGACACATGAATCACCGAGAGATGTATCATAGGTTGTGCACTATAAAAAAAATAATCCTGTACAGAAAGCCAGATGTTACACAAAACAATTTAACCAACAACACCCAGACACATATGTAGGTTTTGTTGACTAAATTTCTTTTAGAGCTGATCGACGTGTAGCATATAGCTTTCCGTACAAGAATATTAAACTTAATCATTGCTCTAGTCTTAGTTTCTCAGCCATCCTTGTTGATTTCTTGTGATTCTCTCACCTAAAAAAAATTCCATAAATTTTTGTATGGCACATGACCCATGCAATAACCTGTACAGTACTGTACAACTCATATGGACAGTGTTAAAATATTCCAGTACATGTACAAGGATCCTTCACTTAACAAATGGGTTAGGTTCCTGGAAAACTATTCGTTAAGTGAATTTTCATATCTCGAATAACAAAACAAATGGAAAAATAGGGTTTGGTTACCAACAACAAGAAAACCCCAATATCACACCGCAAAAACATGAAATCAGTTCATTAGCAACAAAAACCTACCTAACTAAAGAAAAATAGTACAGTCTCTCCTCGACTTACGATGGGGTTCTGTCCCGACGACCAGGTCATAAGTCGATTTGGTCGTAAGTCGAAAAGGCGAAAATAATACATAGAAATTCTAAAATGAAATACAGTACCTGTACAGTAAAAGTAATCAATCATGAAAAATGAATAAAGTGTTACTGTGTACTTACCTTTAATGTAGTCAGCTGAATGCACAAGGGCCTCAATAATTTTTTAATTAAGCATGTAGACTACATTAATTGGATGAAGCAGAGGAGGAGACAGGGCTGGGTGGGTCATCAAGTTCACTTTCTTCAGACAGGCTAACATACTTGCTTGTTGAAGGTATTGGATCATCTTTAGGGAGTGAAGAGGCAGCAGTGGTGAGGGGTGAGGAGACAGCAGTGGGGGATTTCTTAAAAAAAAATATGTCCAATTTAGACTGCACCGTTTGCCTTTTCTTTTCATTGTAAATCTCCCTGTAGCAAGCAGGTGCATCTTGGATCAGTCTGTCAACTTTTGCAAAATGCTCAACATTTTGATCCATTTCTTCAAACATTTGCATCCCCTTATTAATACTGTAGTAGCAAATGCCTCTGCCATTTGTTTCACTGAAAACTTTTTGGGGGGTGCAGGTTCTTCATTTACATTTTGTCTCTCTTCTCCTCTGCAAATTTCTGTGCCTCCAATTCAATAAGATCCCCATTACTTAGCTCTTCTTCTACACTTTCCACCAACTGCTCAACATCTTCATTATCAATTTCTAACTCCAGCTGTTTACCCTTCTGCACTATCTTGTTGCTAATCTCAGAAATTGCTTCATCTTCATTAAATCCTTTGAAACTGTTCACATATCTTTTCAGAACCTTCTTCCATATTCCATTCATGCACTGACCTGTAACCTCATCCCATGCTGCAGCTATGTTCTTTATACATTTCAAAATGTTGTAGTCCTTCCAAAACTCTCTGAGTGTTTTCTCACCTTCAGTAGCAGCAATAGCCTAAGCAAAGGTCGCAAGTAAATAGTACACTTTAAAAGCAGCAATAGCACCTTGATCCATGGGTTGGATGATAAGAGGTAGTGTTAGGTAGACTACCTTAACTTCAGGGTGCAGGTTGTCCAGGTGTGGTGGGTGTCCCAGAGCATTATCTAAAATTAATAAAATCTTGAAGGCAACCCCCTTGTTGCAGACAATATTCCTAGGCTTGTGGAATGAAACAACTCAGGAACCAATCCTCAAACAGTGCTAGGGACATCCATGCTTTCTTATTACTGTGATAAAGCACTGGCAGTGTGTGCTTGCTGACATTTTTAAAAGCCCTTGGGTTGTCTGAATGGTATATCATGAAGAGTTTTACCTTGAAAACAACTACATCCCCCCCCCCCCCAACATAAGTGTGATTCGGTCCTTGAATGCCTTGAATCCCGGCATGGTTTTCGCCTCTTTGTGGATGTATATCCGTTCTGACATGCGCTTCCAGAATAAGCCAGCTTCATCCACATTAAATATTAGCTCAGGCAAATAATTTCCCACCACGATGACACGATCTAGCTCCTCCTTAAAAGCTTCAGCAGCACCCACATCAGCACTTGCTGCCTCTCCACTCACCTTTACACTGTGCAAACTGTAGCAGTTCTTAAACCTTTGGAACCACCCATGACTTGCTGTGAAGTTTTGGTCCTACTCATCTCCTGCCTGCTCTTTCAGGCTTTCGAAAAGGCTTCTTGCCATAGCCTGTATGGTTAGAAGGCTTAAGGGTACACGCTTTTGCAGCTGATCTTCCATCCACATCACAAGTAATTTTTCCATCTCATGAATAGGACCTTGTCTTTTTTTCGTTATTATTGTTCCCTTTATAGGTGCTGATCCTTTCACTACCTCACGAATTCGTTCCTTGTCCTTCAAAATTTTTGATATCGTTGAGTGAGAGAAGCCAAGGTCACGTGAAATGGTTGCTACCGTTTTTCCATTTTCATATTACATTATTAATTTCATTTTCATCTCAAAAGTAATTGACTGTCTCTTTTTCTTCTCAGCACCACGAGAACTCTCACTTTTACACTTGCCAGCCATTTTAAAGGGAATTACAAACGAAAATTTTGTCAGTATGGTACACAGCGTGATCACTAACACCAACGGCCAAACACCAACTGAGCAGGCTACAATGTGGATGCTGTACACCACGAGGCGGCCCAGTCCAAGCTATCGTACGGCGTCATATTACGACCAAATGTAGGGACTCGAAAATATGTATAATGTGAAAAATATTTGATACGACCATGGCCGTCGTATGTCCGGGTTGTCGTAAGTCGAATATGTCGTAAGTCAAGGAGAGACTGTACACAACTATCTGTATACTGTAATTTATTATCCAACACATAAAAAAATAATATCTCAATGTAAATATAAAACTAAAACTACTGACACTCTAATGTCCATGACACGTATTGGCGTCATTGATAATCTTGTCTAATTGGCGCTGTCGCCCCAACGTTTTACAAATAAAAGAGAAAAAATTTATAAAAATTTTAGCAAATCCAATTGACTTTTGAGATTCTGGTGCATCATTCCTGTAGGCCTCCTCTCTCATGGTAATCAATCACTAATTGGCTACGTGGCAACTGTCCATAGAGTGATGCCAAATAAACATTAGTGTTCTTCCAGCAGGCAAGCTAAAAGGAGGAGTGATTGAACCCTTTAAAAATACGAGTACAGTATACAGCATGTCCTTTTAATTCACAGATTTTTAATTCGTGGCCTTTGATTAATTATTCGTGGATGACATCCTGGATGTACCCAAGAATGTCTGGATAGTTTTAAAGTTGGTGGCAATTTCACAGCAGGGACAGAGAGCCCGTGAGTTTTATGGCATCCCGCAAGGCGTCTCTCTTGTCCCAGTGGCTGGGCCATGTGCGCTCACTCCGCCTCAGTGATAGTCCGGGTTAAACACTTGTCCGTTTCGCGCGTGTGCTACTCTGCTCTCTTAACAACACTGCCCCCCCCTCCCCCCCCCCGCTCCCTTACTCAGCCTGCTAACTCTTGCACACTAAGAAATGTTTATTGCTTTATGTTTTGACCTTATAATAGTTACAGTAAACCCCCGATAACTCAGCACATATGGGGCTCTGGCCTTAATGAGTTATCCCAAATTCCAACTTATCAAGGCACTTCCACCTCTTACAAAACTACAACAGTAAAAAATTATCAACCTATATAGTGTGTACATGTAATTACTAAATGTAAAAAAGTAACACTTACCAGCACAGCAAGCGAAGAATGAAGCATTGTAGTAAGTGACACAGAGGCATGGTAGGTGACACAGGGGCATGGCAGGTGACACAGAGGCATGGTAGGTGACACGGGTATGGTAGGTGACAAAGGCATGGTAGGTGACACAGGGGCATGGCAGGTGACACAGAGGTATGGTAGATGACACAGAGGCATGATAGGTGACACAGGGGCATGGTAGGTGACACAGAGGTATGGTAGGTGACAAAGGCATGGTAGGTGACACAGGGGCATGGTAGGTGACACAGAGGTATGGTAGGTGACACAAAGACATGGCAGGTGATGCAAGTGGCCAGATATGCCGAGATTTTCCCAGATAATTTGATATATCTTGGCATTTCCCGAGTTATACTAACACATTCCGAGACCAAATCCATGCTGAGTTATATGAAATTCCAAGTTATTAAATGCCAAGTTATTGAGGATTTACTGTATTTATTTTACTTATATATACATAATATTTGAAGGCTTGTGTGTGCATGTAACTGAGTAAAAAAGTTTTTTAAGAAAGTCAAATTTATCTACCTGAAATTACGAGTTGAATATTAACCATAACGTAGCTTAATACTTGGCCTGATAGCAAGAGGGCTAGGGGGATGTGACTACAGTGGCGAGTCTACCTTGACAACAATGCCACCAGTGATATTAAATGTAACACTTAAATAAGAACACCATCACCCTTAGCTGTGAATTACCTTAAGAGAGGGCAGTCAGGGCTCAGGGTGGGGAATGGCAGAACAAAAGACGTGGGCTGGGGGAGATGCGGGAGGGAGGGGGGTTTGTTATGATCATTGAACAAGAACACATCTCAGCCCATCTCTCCAAGAGGTGTTAATTTTGAAAATTTATATCAGCGAATTCTTATGTTTCGAACGTTCGTTAAGCGAGGAATACGAGTATCCTCGATAATCACGGGACCTGATAATTGCCGATCTGTCGTGTCGCGGTATTCTCAATTGCAACCATGTGTACGCTTATCAGTGATTGATCTGGGTTATCGTGGAACTATTATGGGACAGCGGTGGGTCTGCGAGAG